CGTATCGACGGAAAAGAAATTGCACGTGTTGAATGGATCAGAGAAGGTAGGGTTCCTCTACAAACCATTCGAGCTAAAATTGATTATTGTGCCTACGCAGTTCGAACTATCTATGGGGTATTAGGCATCAAAATTTGGATATTTGTAGACGAGGAATAATAAGAACTTACTTTACTTGTATTTAGTTCTATCTGGTGATAAAACAAAAAAGGCAAACTCTTTCATTCCTTTTCTGTTAAATAAAAAAAAAATGAACAATTCTATAAGGTTGAATAAAAATTCGATTAATCGTTTGATATAATTGCTATGCTTAGTGTGTGACTCGTTGGTTTTTTTAGGATTATAGGATTCAACAAAATCGACGGGCCCGTAGTACGAACTGATAACTATAGAACTAATAATCAACTCATCGCTTCGCATTATCTGGATATAAGGAACCAGTCAAGATATGATATATGAGTCATATCATTGTAGCAACTGAAATCTTTTTTGCATAAACACAAAAGAAAAACCAATCTGATTATGAGTTGTAAAGCAATAAAAGTATACAGATAAATGGAAGGGTGAGAGAAAGATAGGAAAAGAAATATCAATGATATATAATTCCAATATGTAAGGTCTATGAGTCATCTCATATAAAGGGAATGTAATAAAGCATCAATACTGATTGATCCATAATTAGACAAATCGGTGCATAGAAGAAAAAATCAAGAGCCCTGAGCCAATAAAGACTGAGAAGGTTGACTCAAGAAAAAATTTCATTCATTAATAAATTTCATTAAGGGCTCCGTTGTAGAATTCAGACCTAACCATTAATCGAGAAGTGGTGGGGACGACAGAACCTGTGAATGCATAAGATTCTATTGAAAACGAATCCTAATGATTCATTGGGTAGGATGGCGGAACGAACCAGAAACCTATTCATTTATTCTGAGAGGTCATGTCATAGACTAATCTTACAATTGAATGTTGAAAGAGTAAATATTCGCCCGCGAATTTTTTTTTATTTCTAAATTTTAGTCGATTCGATATGATAATACAAAGGAAAAAGAAAATAAAGATTCATTATAACGATAACGTTATATAAAAACGACATTATCTATAAATAGAAGACATGTTTAATTATATATTAAAACACAAAAAATTTTAAATTTATAATAGATATAGATATAGATTAGATAAAATTTAAAAGAATACCACGATTCCGTATATTATTCACCGTGTATATTATTTTTTAATTGTTTAATTCGCGAGGAGCTGGATGAGAAGAAACTCTCATGTCCAGTTCTGTAGTAGAGATGGATGGAATTGATAAACAACCATCAACTATAACCCCAAAAGAACCAGATTCCGTAAACAACATAGAGGAAGAATGAAAGGAATATCTTATCGAGGCAATCGTATTTGCTTCGGTAGATATGCTCTTCAAGCGCTTGAACCCGCTTGGATCACATCTAGACAAATAGAAGCAGGGCGGCGAGCAATGACACGAAACGCACGCCGCGGTGGAAAAATATGGGTACGCATATTTCCAGACAAACCCGTTACAGTAAGACCTACAGAAACACGTATGGGTTCGGGGAAAGGATCTCCCGAATATTGGGTAGCTGTTGTTAAACCCGGTAGAATACTTTATGAAATGAGCGGAGTAGCAGAAAATATAGCCAGAAGGGCAATTTCAATAGCGGCATCCAAAATGCCTATACGAACTCAATTCATTCTTTCGGGATAGGGATGTAGAAACAAAAGAAAGGGGTCTTTTGTATGAAAAAAAAATTGCAGGTTTTTTGTTTTGAACAAATAATATTTCTTTTTTTTTATTTAGACCCTTGCATTGAAAACAAAAAAAATCGATAAAAAAACGATATGATTCAACCTCAAACCCATTTAAATGTAGCGGATAACAGCGGAGCCCGAGAATTGATGTGTATTCGAATCATAGGAGCTAGTAATCGACGATATGCTCATATTGGTGACGTTATTGTTGCTGTAATCAAGGAAGCCGTACCAAATACACCTCTAGAAAGATCAGAAGTAATCCGAGCTGTAATTGTACGTACTTGTAAAGAACTCAAACGCGACAACGGTATGATAATACGATATGATGACAATGCTGCAGTTGTTATTGATCAAGAAGGAAATCCTAAAGGAACCCGAATTTTTGGCGCGATCGCCCGGGAATTAAGACAGTTAAATTTCACTAAAATAGTTTCATTAGCACCCGAAGTATTATAAGGGAAGGCCGTAATATAGTTATAGTATTTGGTATTTGAATGAAACCGATTAATTAGTAGATTGTTTATATATCACGTATATACCTTTAATAATTCAGAAATAAAGATAAATAAAAAAAGAAAAAGAGCATGTTGATTATATCAAAATTTGGGGGCAACAAAAATCTTAGTTTATCATGAGTAAAGACACTATTGCTGACATAATAACCGCTATACGAAATGCTGACATGAATAAAAAAAGAACAGTTCGAATACCATCTACTAACATCACTGAAAATATTGTTAAAATCCTTTTACAAGAAGGTTTTATTGAAAACGTGAGAAAACATCAGGAAAGCAATAAATATTTTTTGGTTTTAACACTACGACATAGAAGAAATAGAAAAGGATCGTATAGAACTGTTTTAAATTTAAAACGGATCAGTCGACCCGGTTTACGAATATATTCTAACTATCAAAAAATTCCTAGAATTTTAGGCGGAATGGGGATTGTAATTCTTTCTACTTCTCGAGGTATAATGACAGACCGAAGGGCTCGAATAGAAGGAATCGGCGGAGAAATTTTGTGTTATATATGGTAATCTTTCTGATAGACGAATTATACGAAGAACTTTCATATTTGTGAAAAAAGAGAAAGGACAACTTTATAATATTACCCCTCTTACATTAGTTGATACTTCAAAGCGGTTTTACCTGGAATGAAACAAAAAAAGATTCATGAGGGTTTAATTACTGAACAACTTACCAATGGTATGTATCTTCCGGGTTCGTTTAGATTTGAGATAATGAAAATATGATTCTGGTTTTTGTTTCGGAAAGGATTCGACGTTGTTTTATACGTATACTACCAAGAAATAGAATAAAAATTGAGGTAAGTCCTTATTTCAACCAAAGGACGTATAGTTTATAGACTCCAAAGCAAAGACTCGAATGATTCGGTGGTTTTTTCAATTTCAACATTCTTTCGTGGGGATACAATTCGAAGTTAAAAATTTCAAGAAACTTATTTTCTTCCAATAAATAGTAAGAAAGGGAATGACAAATATGAAAATAAGGGCCTCTGTTCGTAAAATTTGTGAAAAATGTCGATTGATCCGTAGGCGGGGACGAATTATAGTAATTTGTTCCAACCCGAGACATAAACAAAGACAAGGCTAATCTTTCTAAAGCAAAAAAGACTCTCGAAATCAAAAGTAACCGATGTACAGATGTACAAATAAATAAGTAAAAAAAATAAGGATACGTTTTGACATGAAATGGATATATCCATATATCTCTGACTTATATTTATGAGATGATAAAATATGGCAAAACCTATACCAAAAATTGGTTCACGTAGAAATAGACGTATTGGTTCACGTAAGAATGCGCGTAGAGTACCAAAGGGAGTTATTCATGTTCAAGCAAGTTTCAATAATACGATTGTGACTGTTACAGATGTACGGGGTCGAGTAATTTCTTGGTCCTCCGCCGGGGCTTGTGGATTCAAGGGTACAAGAAGAGGTACACCATTTGCCGCTCAAACCGCAGCAGGAAATGCTATTAGGACAGTAGTGGATCAAGGTATGCAACGAGCAGAAGTCATGATAAAAGGCCCGGGTCTCGGAAGAGATGCGGCATTAAGAGCTATTCGTAGAAGTGGTATACTATTAAGTTTCATACGCGATGTAACCCCTATGCCACACAATGGCTGTAGGCCCCCTAAAAAAAGGCGTGTGTAAAAATAAACATTGAAGAGATTTCAAGAGAAATAAATAATTCAATGATTTGATCAAATAATATACTATGGTTCGAGAGAAAGTAACAGTATCTACTCGGACACTACAGTGGAAGTGTGTTGAATCAAGAGCAGACAGTAAGCGTCTTTATTATGGACGCTTTATTCTGGCCCCACTTATGAAAGGTCAAGCAGATACAATAGGAATTGCGATGCGAAGAGCTTTGCTCGGAGAAATAGAAGGAACATGTATCACACGCGCAAAATCTGAGAAAATACCACATGAATATTCTACCATAATAGGTATTCAAGAATCCGTACATGAAATTTTAATGAATTTGAAAGAAATTGTATTGAGAAGTAATCTATATGGAACTCGTAACGCGTCTATTTGTATCAAGGGTCCTGGATATGTAACTGCTCAAGACATTATCTTACCACCTTCTGTGGAAATCGTTGATAATACACAGCATATAGCTAACCTAACGGAACCAATTAATTTGTGTATTGAATTACAAATCGAGAGGAATCGCGGATATCGTATAAAAACGCCAAATAACTTTCAAGACGGAAGTTATCCTATAGATGCTGTATTCATGCCTGTTCGAAATGCGAATCATAGCATTCATTCTTATGTGAATGGGAATGAAAAACAGGAGATACTTTTTCTCGAAATATGGACAAATGGAAGTTTAACTCCTAAAGAAGCACTTCATGACGCCTCCCGGAATTTGATTGATTTATTTATTCCTTTTTTACATGCAGAAGAAGAAAACTTACAGTTAGAAAACAATCAACACAAAGTTACTTTGCCCCTTTTTACTTTTCATGGTAGATTGGCTAAACAAAGGAAAAATAAAAAAGAAATCGCATTGCAATATATTTTTATTGACCAATCAGAATTGTTCCCCAGGGTCTATAATTGCCTCAAAAGGTCCAATATACATACATTATTGGATCTTTTGAATAACAGTCAAGAAGATCTTATGAAAATTAAACATTTTCGCATAGAAGATGTAAAACATATATTGAACATTCTAGAAATATAAATAGAAATATAAAAGCATTTCGAATAAATTTTAATGGGTTATTTAATTTTTTTTTTCTAAAGTTTTTGTATAAAAAGATAAAAATGAGTTTTGAATCTTTAGCACAATTAATATATTCGGAATAGGTCCAAAATTAAATTGAATAGATGTATCTAGGGAAAATTCACTTTGAAGCGACTATTCCCTAGATACACACGTGGTAATATATTTTTTTTTTATTTCACAATTGAATCAATTTAAAAAAGACCTAAAGTTAAGGACTTATCAATAGGTAGTGTTGCTCCAATACCCAACCAAAGGGCTACTGCAGTACCAATCAAAAAGACGGTTGTCGCTACGGGACGACGAAATGGATTTTGGAATTTATTAACATTCTCCAAAAAGGGTACTGTTAATAATCCCGCAGGTACTGAAACCATTAAAAGAACACCCAATAACTTATTTGGCACTGTACGAAGTATTTGAAATACGGGAAAGAAATACCACTCAGGCAATATTTCCAAAGGAGTTGCAAACGGATCCGCGGGTTCACCAATCATTGATGGTTCTAGAACCGCTAAGCCTACATTACATGCAATAGTGCCTAAAATTACTACTGGAAAAATATATAAAAGATCGTTTGGCCATGCGGGCTCTCCGTAATAATTATGACCCATCCCTTTAGCCAATTTAGCTCTTAACACAGGATCATTCAAGTCAGGTTTTTTTGTTATTAGGATAGGTGAATTATTTTATTTCCATCCCCCGAAAGAACCGGACATGATAATTTTTCATCATCCAGCTCGAGCACGAATCAGACGAATCTAATGGATCCATATAAAAAATAAAATCGCTATGTTATCCATATCCACTCATAATCCACACATATATGAATGATTCGATGTAAGAAAAAGGATTCCCTTTTTCGAAGTTGCAACAACTACCCATTGCAAGGAATTCAGTTCTTACAGATAAATGCTCAATACCCAAGTAGGCTTACAAAATTGATCATGATCAAATGCTTTATGGGTCGTCTTATATCTTGCAATTGGCCTTTATCCCCTAAAATATCGAGACTTTTTACATACAAAGCAAAGGATTTACTTGTTACTAATATAGTCTAGCCTCTGTTCTTCTTTAGATCCCTTGTTTCACTCCGATAGTATCATAAATCGAGTCAATGCAGAGGAAATGAATACATTTCTATACTATTTAGTAAGTGAAATATATAAAACATAATCCGGATTATGCCAATCACTTATTCTACTGGATCGGATCTTACGGAGCCTGTTCATATCATACACGACATGATCGGGTCTGATCATAGAAAAGATTCTCTTCAAACGAACCGGCCTATCTTCTGTATGGGGCTTACGCGGTGGTTGGAACAAAGACACATTTTTTGTTGTGAATTAAAATGTGGCAGATAGATAAGGGCATACATCTGCAAGGCCCGATCAATAGTTCAAGTCACACACTCCCATAATCCATTTTATCTTCGGAAAATTCGCTTCAACTATGAGTGTCAAAAAAATAATACATTTTTGTAGAGTTGAAGAGAAATATCCCAATACATGTCTTATTCTTTTCAATAATCCATATTTGTAGCAATGAAATACTATTGTTCCTACCCCAAGTGATAAATGATTGATTACAGATGGTATATATTCTTTATAAAGGACCAGAAATCCTTTATAAAGGACCAGAAATACCTTGCTTACGTATCATTGGGAAGTGCATTAACATAAATACGGCAGTAAGAAGAGGTAATACAAAAGTGTGTAAACTATAAAAACGAGTCAAAGTGGATTGTCCCACACTAGCACTTCCGCGTAATAACTCTACCAGGGGCGAGCCTATTACAGGAATAGCGTCTGGTACGCCTGTTACAATTTTTACTGCCCAATAACCAATTTGGTCCCGAGGTAAGGAATAACCAGTTACACCAAAAGATGCGGTCAATACACCCAAAACCACACCTGTAACCCAAGTCAATTCGCGAGGTTTTTTAAAGCCACCGGTTAGATACACACGAAATACGTGCAGGATCATCATTAGGACCATCATACTTGCCGACCATCGATGAACCGATCGGATTAACCAACCAAAATTAGCTTCAGTCATTATATATTGAACAGAAGCAAAAGCCTCTGTAACGGTCGGACGATAATAAAAAGTCATAGCAAACCCTGTAGCTACTTGTACTAAAAAACAAGTAAGCGTAATTCCTCCTAGACAATAAAATATGTTGACGTGAGGAGGAACATATTTACTAGTTATATCATCGGCAATTGCCTGAATCTCAAGACGTTCTTCGAACCAATCATAGATTTTATTGAGATAGGTAAATCACGGAGACTCCCCCCCGGAGAACCGTATATGAAAATTTCATCTCATACGGCTCAAACAGAAACACACAAATACTAGTTCTAACGGATGTGTGTAATAGAAAGTTTTAAATTTCTTAATTCTATGATTCATTTTTTCTGAAGATACGAAAGAATAAAAATCCGAAAACTCCTCTTTGTGGTTATAATGCCAAAAAATCAAGTCGGCTCATTCGTCTATATATTGATCGTTATAGGCCTCTTGAATCTTCTATTTACCTATTTTATTTGTTGTTATTTATGTGTAGTGCGGCTTTACTGCTGTTTTCTTTATTATTGATAGGAATTATCTTGTTAAGACCCTATTAATTGATTAAAACCTCAGATTCATACTAGAACCACGATGATTCAATAAAACCCTTTCAAACTAAGTCCCAAAATTCCCTGAGTAAGAACCGTTGGATCATCACTTATTCAATGAATAGATATAATGACTAAAAATCCAAAGAAACCTTTGTCCTTTGATCAAAATAAGCCTAAACGAAAGTTTAGTTTGAAAAAAAAAAAAAAAATTTCGAAGTCCGGCCACGAGGTCTAACTATTAAGTATGAATCATAGTTCTAATACTTTGTAATCTATTTCATATATATATTCCGTGCTCCAGATACTAGAATGAATATCCGACGAAGTAAAACCATCTCTATCAAGATGACAGACCCATTCTCTGTACTATCCATAGGATCAATTATACCAAGTCACACACTCATATTCCGGAAATACAGAAACAAAGAAATTCCACGGTCGAACTACCAAAATAGAATGGGATAAAAATCATAAACCTAAACGCTTCATTTTGTATTGAAAAAGCCAGTTAATGGTTCTTGTGAATCTAATTCATTGAAATTCCATCCAGTAAAATGGAAGAATTATAAATCTCCAAAATAATCGATAGGAATATCGCAAATAGAGCCATTGCGAGACCCATCAAAGGAGTAGTTCCCCACCCAGGAGCTACTTTACCATATTCTGAATTCAATGGTTTCAATAAACTCCCTGCATTAGTTCGTTTGGGGCGGCCAGATCTAGAACTACCCTCAACGGTTTGTGTAGCCATAATATTTTATATTCAGTAAGATCTGTTGACTTTGTATACCATTCCGTTGTAAATAAATGATCTTATCATAGATCCATTGTGGTCTTAAAACTATATAATGTCTTAAAACTATATAATAATGGAAACAGCAACCCTAGTTGCCATCTTTTTATCCGGTTTACTTGTAAGTTTTACTGGGTACGCCTTATATACTGCTTTTGGGCAACCCTCTCAACAACTAAGAGATCCATTCGAGGAACACGGGGACTAGTTGAAGTAATGATCCTCCCAATATTGGGAGGATCATTACTTTCAATTGAGATAATGAAAAATCATTTCACCTTTTTAGTTGGAACTTTAGGCGGTTCTCGAAAAAAGATAGCGAAAAAAATTATTCCTAGAGTTGAGACTAAAAGGAATGTATAAACCAATGCTTCCATAGATTTGATCGTGGTTTACAATTATAGCTTCCATACCTGTTTATTGGGGATCGTCTCCCGGATAAAAAAAGAACAAGAGTCAAAAGTCAAAGAAAAGGCAGTGATTCAAATCAAGATTTATCCGGTACCCTATATCAAATCACAAAATAAAAATGAAAAGTAACAAGTAACAAAGCAATATTGTATCAAACTACTTGTCTTCTTGTAGTTGGATCTCCGAGTTTTTGGAATGCTCCAAATTCCACTTGAGCATCTAAATCTGGATCAATACCAGCAAAAACATCTCTAAACAAGGTTCTAGCGCCATGCCAAATGTGTCCGAAGAAGAAGAGCAAAGCAAACGAAGCATGCCCAAAAGTAAACCAACCCCTTGGACTGCTACGAAAAACACCATCGGATTTCAAAGTAGCACGATCTAATTCAAAAATTTCACCCAATTGAGCGCGTCTAGCATATTTTTTCACAGTAGCGGGATCACTATAACTGACTCCGTTGAGTTCGCCGCCATAGAACTCGACAGTTACACCTACTTGTTCGACACTATATTTTGATTCTGCCCTTCTAAAAGGAACATCGGCTCTAACAATTCCGTCTCCGTCTACCAAAACAACCGGAAATGTTTCAAAAAAAGTAGGCATACGACGTACAAAAAGTTCGCGCCCCTCTTTATCTCTAAAGATAGGATGTCCTAACCACCCAACAGCTATTCCATCCCCGTTGTCCATTGAGCCCGCTCTGAATAACCCCCCCTTTGCCGGATTATTGCCAATGTAATCATAAAAAGCCAGTTTTTCAGGAATTTTAGACCAAGCTTCAGATAAACTTTGATTTTCAGCTAACCCAGCACCGATTCTGCGATATATTTCTTGTTGGAAGTATCCTTGATCCCATTGATAACGAGTGGGACCAAACAATTCAATCGGGGTAGTTGCTGAACCATACCACATAGTTCCGGCAACTACAAAAGCTGCAAAAAAGACAGCAGCAATACTACTGGAAAGGACAGTTTCAATATTTCCCATACGTAATCCTTTGTATAGGCGTTGAGGTGGACGGACACTAAGATGGAATAGACCCGCCAATATGCCCAATGTCCCTGCTGCAATATGATGAGAGGCTATTCCTCCCGGAACAAAAGGATCAAAACCCTCCACACCCCAC